ATGAAAGGACTCTGGGCAACAACAACCATGAAGATTTTCTTATTTTTAGATTCTAATAATGTGTTTGAGAATAAAGTCAGTGCTGCATTGATGTGCAGTCATTACCTGCCTCCTTTGTCCTTTGTTTATTTCTGAACAGTTTGTGACAGGCGCTCTAATTAACTGCACATAATAATGTAAACCTTTACCGCTCCTGTGACACAGTACACCCTGTTCTTGAATCCCGGCCTTTGCATTTATGCAAAGTAGCTAAGCTGTAATTGCAAAACAAATGTCTTTGAAGTCGCTGAAGATATGTATTTTTAACCTCCTGTTAGCTGAGATTGGACCTTGTCAAAATAGTTTTAACAGAAATTTCATTACGGTTGTTCTCAACACTTTGTTTGCTAAGTATGCCATGTGTCTGTGCTAGAGGTGGAAATTAATCCTACTGACTGTGGTGAGTCTTGATTGCAATTTAGTAGCAAAAACTAATGTACAGGTAAATTGTTGGTGACCATTAGACTTTTCATTTAGCACCTTCACCAGGTCACTTTGTCCTTTCATTTTTTACTTTAATTTGAATCCCTCAAAAATTATGTCCTTAATAGATTACCTTTCAATGTGTAATGGAAACCTCAAGTGTCAGGTAGGAGTGGAGTGATATTATTCTCCTTAAGCTTTATCAGTTTAAAAGATCTGGACTGTCAAATATGTTTTGTGCACTTGTGTCACACACTATCTGGTTGCTTGTTCCTAAGTTATTCTAATGGGGAAATAAAACAAAAGGGATGGCAATTTAAAAAAGATTAACTTTAAAAGTTTAAATTCATTTAATTTGAAACTGAAATGCAATAACCTAACATCTTCTACATCGAGAGAAGATAAACAGGAATTATGCCTATAAGTGATTTTTTATCCTAATAATATAAACATTACAAAGAACAATACATGTGACAAGCATTCCCATCTGCACAGCTGGACAAGGTCATGACACCAGATGTGGTAACCAGAAGAGAAACACAGAAGAGCTGGATCTGCTATATTTTGACAGAGCTATATTTTGACATGAAAATCATTACAAGTCCTCTTATCTTAGTGCCAAGTGTGTTAAGGTCCAGACACACCAAACCAACATGAAAGAAGTAACGGCCTAACATCGCCTGTGTCTCCCCCAAAAGTTACACATGAACACACTGTTAAGCGCCTGTGTGAGAGAAAATATTCTTCACAGCAGACGGTGGTCATCTGTATTCGTCATTCAATAAGGGAAACTAGAAGACATTGTTGATGCTAGTTAGCCAGTTAGCACATTTAAAACACTATCCAGAGTTAAAAATAGAATATTTACTGCACGTCAGTGAGCAAAGACAAAACCATCATTGAATGTTTCTGCCGAGGAGCTCAATGGCTGAAGAAAAATAATCTTACCTCATCTAAAAAGGTTTTTTTCGATCTCAATTCCTTTTAAGGTTTGTTTACTTTCCTCACTTCTGTTTCTCTTCTTATACACTGAGCTGACCTGCCAGTCAGTGATTGCATTCACCCACAGGTTTGCCAGTTTATCATGCTGAATCAGCCGAAAAAGCCAAGCAGTCGGCTTGGTGTGTTAGGCCTTTATTCCTGAAATGATCCTGTAGATTACCTCTGACCCCAATTCTCAATATTTCAGACAGCGCCCTCTATGGAGCGAGATCTGATGAATGTGACAACCAACCCTGTTCTCCCCTACAGCCTCACTAGCAGTGGGCTCCAAGTCTTGTTTTGATTGTGAGTCCTCATGAAAAATGTTGGCTAAATTTGGTCTAGCCCCACTTTGTGCCTCATATGTTAGCATTCCATTCGAGTTACAGAGCTCACCATTCGTTTAACTGAAAGATAAATCCAAAATGAAAACCCAGGAGGTCGTTTAACAGCACCTAGCACTTCTTCAAAGGTATTTCCAGATTCCTTAAAGACTCAACTATCTGTTACTTTGGGAAACGCCTACAAAACCACTGGCACAACATTTAAACATCTTCAAATGTCAGGTAACATGAGCATCAGTGTCATGTCTCTTGTTATTGCCGTTATTAAGATTAAGAGCCACTGTGATGTATCCATATGTTTATACTTTAAACAACAGGAGCTCCTTTCTTACAGCAATCCTCTTCTTGATGGTTGTTGGTCTGATTGACACTATCAGCCATTATGATTAATAATCAGACACATCTGGTGCATAATGAAGAGCCAAGACTGCACCAGAGGTGAGGGGACACTTCTGGTTCTGACGTGTGTATAAATCGCAAGTTCTTTATTTCCATTTTTCAGTGGAAACAAGGCGAGCATGGGTGTGGGGGCGAGTCAGAGCCCACCAGGCATTTCTTCTCCTGCATTCAACATTAGCATTTCACACACACATGCCTGGGGACACAGTTACATTATTGCTAACAATACAAGGTGTTGCTGTCCTGATGTCAGTGCAGGCTGGTATTTAGTTACATCAATCACTCATATTGCCTAACTTTATTTATCTATGTTTTTTTTCTCTGATAAAAAGGAGCTCCATACTTTAAGTGTGTCTATTCTCAACAGTCACAGTCACATGCTGACCAGCACCACAGTCGGTATGGTTAAACGTTAATATTCAACTGTTCAGGAAAACCTTGTGCTCTGCAAAATATAGCACTTTTCTGTTTTTCCTCAGTGACAGCTGTATACATTTGACATTCTGATGTTTGAAAGATGATACCAAATATAAAAAATATCTGGTTTCATTCTATTCTGTCAGCCTTTCTTAAATACAATGAAATTAATATATCAGCCATTTTGTAAAAATAATGTGTTTAAGCAGAATTTGATTATTTTCTGCTTTAATTACATTTTGTGTCCAGAGAGTGCCATTTCAGTTCTGTTCATGTCAAAGCTTTCAGTTATAATGAACAGTCTGCCTGTGTGTCAGCAGGTACACACTGCCCCCCAATGGCAACAAGTGAGAACTGCAGCTATAGTACATGCTCCTCAATCCAACTCATTACAGATCAGTGGTGTCAAATGTACGACCCAGGGGCCAGAACGAGCCCGCCAAAGGGTCCAATCTGGCCCAGTATTGATGCTTATGTGAAGGTTAAGAGGTGCAAGGTCTTAGGAGCAGGTTAAACAGTGAGTAGCCTACTTCATGTAAAATGCTGCTTCCAAGGCTTTTCCCCTCTGACCAGAGTACAGCTCTCTGATTAACAATGAATACTTATCGTGGTCACATTTAAAGATATTAAACACTGTGCAAAATATTGTTAATCAGGAGCTTCAGTACAAAAGAATCTGTATCAGACTTCTGTCCTAAGAAAACATTGGTGGAACCCATAGACTGTAAAAGTAATGGATTTAGCTATTGTGACATCACCCATTGGTTCATGGAATCCCGTTCTGAAGCCTCAAGTTTGCCATTTTGACTGTCACCACCTTGTTTTTTTGGAGCCAGAAGTGACCATATGTGGGTGAGAGGCTAGAGTTGTGGAAGAGTGACGGGTGTAACTGACAGAGAAGTCAAGGACACTATCTTCAGACAGCCTGTCACTCAAAGCTGTCTGCCCTTAAATATGCATAATTTTAATAAACATGTAAACGGGTGAGTTATATAAAAACTTACCCCCATACAGTTGTCATGAGCAGGGAAATTTGTACCAGCTTTTGTACCAGGCTGTAAACATGCTGTAAAGGTGGGCATTTTAACAAGAGGGTCTGTGAGGACTGACTCGTTATTGGAACCAACCTCAAGTGACTGTTCAAAGAACTTCAGGTCACAGTCTGTTGGTTTTACATAAGTTTTGCTTCCCCCTAGTGGCCAAAAAATCTATTGATGCAGCTTTGAGTAGCTGTCCGTAGCATTTTGTCATCAATAAATCAATCAATTAAATGATGGTTGACTACTTTGTGTATTTGATGAATGGAAACCTCTTGGATTGCTTATGGCACAAAGCAGAAAGAGATTGATGTTCTTTTATTTGTTTGCACACTTTGCAACATGTAACAACTCAGCTTCTGAGAAATGTGGTCTCAACTCTGAGAATTGGGAGCACTCCTGGTGGAAAATATCTTCCTTATGATCTCATTAAATTCTACCAAGATGGCACCATTGATTTGACAATGATACACTGATGTTAGGAATACTGCACACAGCACCCTGAAACAATAAAAGAAGGGTCAGTGTAACAAATAACGATAACTCAGGGTTCTGACAGCAGAGGGTTGAGGAAACACCAGCTCTGGTGAAGACGCTCAGACAGTAAAGGTTTGGTACATGTAAACCGAACTGCTTGTTGGCAGCATTTAGAGGTCAGCAGTGTGACCAGTGAAACCCAACACACTGCAAACAGCCACCCTGGTGCCAAAACTGAAACCCAATCCAGCAGCGACACGAAGAAGCCTTGGAAACCTGCTACAATCAGCACAGAGATCAAAGTTTCTGCTGTTTCAGTTTGTCTCCTGCTCAGGTTCATGTGCTGCCTTGATTACTGAACTGTAAGGATTATTTCTTAAAAGTCGGACTGTAAGTGTATTTCACAACTCTTTTTTAATTTTGTCTCAGTTTTTTGGTGTTAAGGACTTAGGTGTGTCAGCACTGGTACTTAATATACTATACTCAAGATTGAACACTTGGATCCAAAAATTCAATTTTAAACATTTTAGTCCAGTTAAGTCCAATTTTATCTCTCTGTGGGAATTTTTACATCATACTAAATAACAGCACCTGACAAACACTGTCATCAAGGTCCATTTAGTGGCTGTTCTTGAGCTTTCTTACCATATGATCTTCAGCAAATTAAGTCATCTTAAAACTGTTAATTTCACTGCACTTCATCTGCTGATGAAGGGCATGTGTTTAGTTCAAAGCCCCAGCACAGCTCCTAAATCCCTGAGGTGAGGTGAGATTTTTTTCAACTGCTGTTACAAAAGTCAACAATAATCTTTAAAACCCAAAAATAACACCAAACTCTTTTTACTCAGTGTTTATAATTAGAAAAATAAAACTATACCAAATATTTGTAAAACACCCAAAAATGACATTTACTTTAACTTAATTAAAACACTTCGATCAATACAATGTCATTAATCGAATATGATATGAGTAGCTAGCGTATTTTCCTCTCCAGTGCTGTGGGTGGTCGGCTGGACGTCTTCTCAGGAAGCACTAGCCTCAGCTTCCTCCTGGGGGAGGATCCTCCTTCCTCTGACAGGTACTCCTGCTGCAACAGTGCAGCAGCTGCAACTGCATCCCCTGTGGAGGATCCACTCTGTGTAGACATGCTGGGGGCAGTGACACCTGATACAGACACATCTGCCGCCTGCATGCTGCCTACTGACAGCCCTGCTGCAAGTCCCTCAGTTGAAGCACCACCCCCAGCTGACATATTGACTGTGGGCCCACCATACACATGCCTGGTCTCTGTCTGGCTGTTATTGTTAGACAGATTCTCCACGGTAGTCACTAGTCCAGCCTGAGGGGTCACCCCAGACAAACCATCCACACTTGGATGTGCCTGGGTTGGAATAGTGAGGCTCTGATGTAGAACTTCCCCAGTCTGAAGGCCCGGTCCTTGGGCTGGATCAGATTTCAGTGTTGCTACAAGATGAGAGCTATCAGGGGGTGGCTTGCTCTGTGAAAAGGACTGCACAGGTGCAGAATTAACAGGTGGGTTTGCTGCTAAACTTGAGGTTACTCCTACAGGTAGGGAGGTATGAAGAGGAGAGGTATGTATTGCACTTGCTTGCAAAGGGTTGGCATGTACAGTATTAGTCAGAAGAGATGCAGCAGGAGAAGTGAGGCCTACCCCTGGTTGCCTGCTGAAGTTGTCTGGGACACCCCTTGGTGCCATGTTGGGCCCACTGATGGCTATGCTAGAAGCAGCTGGACCACTAGGGAACAGTGCATTAGATCCTGGAGCCATGGAGCTGAGCAAAAAATTCCCTCCTTGAAGAGAAAGGCTGCTGCCAGTCAGCTGTGAGCCTGCTGAACCAAGCAACGAGAGGTTGGCAGTGCGATTCCTGTCAGTGGCAGAGAGGGATAAGGGATGGTGCGAGGAAAGCTGAGCATTCCCCAGAACCAGTCCAGCTCCCTGATATGGGATACCCTGCAAGTTTTGTCCCTGTCCAATGACAAGGGCAGAGGCTGATTGGTCAGCAGTATTGGTTACATCACCAGATTGGGAGTTTTCAAGGTGTGTATTCTCTCCCTGGTCACCTTCTATACTTTCCTGCTTGCCTTTTTGCTGCTTAGAGGATGTTTTGTTTTTCTGTCCTCCTTCATCTTCGTCTTTCCTCTCTTCCTCACCATCCTCAGTCGATCCTTTAGTCTTGGACGATTTCTTCATTTTCTCACTGCTATCCTTTGTTTTCTTACCAGACTTTCCTTTCCCTTCCCTCTCTCCTCTTTCTTGTCCATCCTGCCTTTTATCTTTACTCTTCTTTGAGCTGCTTTTCTCTGAGTGGCCCTGCTCAGTTTTCCTTTTAGGATGGACTTTGCTTTTTCGTAGCGGGTTCAAGTTTAGTTTAACCTTCAGTAACCGGCTTGACTGGACTTTAGCTTTGTGTTTTCTTACTCTTCCTCTCTCCTTGTCTCCGGAGCTCTTTGCCTTTTCCTCCCTCTTGTCCTCGCCTTGACTGCGTCCTTGCTCTAGGGTTCCTAAACTCTCCAGGTCAAAAGTTACGTTTCTTGTTTCTCTTCTCAACTCTGTGTTTATCATCATGTCAAACTGGTTGCGGTTAATATTCCTACCTGTGTCATTCGGTCTGTACTGAGAAGGGAAGCCATCACACAGAGCAGAGTCTTTCATGTTGGTATGAATCCTACCTTGTCTTGTGTTCTGCTCTGGTGGTCTGTATGTCCTGTGGCAGCTCTCGCAGTGTAGAGTCTCATGTCCTATGCTCTTGCCTTCCATGTCAGTTCTGTAGCTCTCACCCATTTCTCGGTTTGTCCTATAAGCAGCCAGAGTGTCTGTTCTTTGACTGAAGATTTCTTTCCGTGGATGAGAGGAAGAGTTAGTGTTGCCATGAGAAAGAAGCTTGTTAGGAATGTCCCTGCTCAGTATTCCCTGCTGAGTCCTTAGCCTCCTCCTTTCCTCCTCATTCATCATCCTCATTCTCCCCTTCTCTCTTTCCTCTATCTCCATCCCTCCGTTCATCCTGTTGTTCCATCTCATCGGATTCATCTCTCTCTGTCCTTTGGTGCTACAGTCTGGGCACCTAAAATGGCCATTTTCATCAGTTCTGGACCCAAACTGGCCCCCATGGCCATCTGTCCTCATATCCAACATCATGGCTTCCCTGTCCCAAGGCTGGCTTCTAAGTGCTTGCAGGAAGAGGTCCCTCCTCTTTTCACTAACATCTATGTGAATGACGTGGTGATTCACCACTGTGCCGCTCCCCTCTTCCACTTCACTTCGTCTTTCATTTTCTTTCAGTCTTTTCCTCCGCGAAACTTGATAGTAGATCAAGACCACCAGCAGGGTCACTCCAATGCCACCTGAAGCACCACAGGACGGAGAGGATTTTAATTAACCATATTCACAGTGTTAAGTAGTGTTGTGTAGCATGTTTTACATTACATATTGATTGAGATCATATCCAGTCCGATCAATTCAAGATTTTCTTCTAAGAGCCTGGGGAGAGCAGCATTTCTTTGTCATTTTGCATCAAATTCACTTCATAGGAATGAAATTGTAGCAGTCAGATGGTTCATTCACAACAGCAAAGTAAATCTGCAGAGGTATTGCATCAATCATATCAACTGTGTACCAGCATCTTACTCCACTTAACCCTGTCCTACAAGACTACGAGTAGCTCCACATAGGTGACGTAGTGTAAAGTCAGTTGTGAGATATGAGTGAGCAATAGGTTTCCCTAAATTAAATCAATTTAATCATTAGTATCTGAGCTGGCTAGCCTGCTAATTGGTGGTTAGCAAGTTAGCTGGCTCAGCAAGGTGCTTTGTTTTATAAGCTAACTTGTATGTTACTATTCAGCACCCCTGCTAGCTCACCAACCAGCTTGTTGACCAGTTAAACAATACAGTATATACAGTTATCTGCACCATATGTTTATATCCCATGCAACTTTAACCTGTTTATTGCAGCCACCGTTGACATTATAAGCCAATGTTATGGTCACACATAACAGCTAGCAACTGCAAACACAAATGTTAACCACCGCACAACCCACGTGTCTCAGGCCCCAGGAAGTGTGCCAGGCTTTGAAGCCAATTTTTTGTTAATGGGCAAACAGTGTATTTAAACTGTAATGTGATGCCGTTTTCTTTCTTTTTCCCATAGACTAATATGGTGAAAGAGAGGATAGCAAAAAATTATGTCTTCAAAGTTTTCTGGGCTGATGTTATTTCTAATCTACTAATCCAATTTTCTTCAACTTTTTTTCAGATTAATTCATCAGTGACATCACGGCACAACTTCAAGTGTTTTATATCATTCTCACCAATGAAGCAGATGACTGCAGTGATGGCCAGATCTTGAGCATACCGTTGAGGTGTCACGCTGCCTCTTGCCTCTATCTGCACTGTGATGTTCTGATTGGATGGGACACAGTTGGCCTCAGTCAGCTCCAGCACTGTGGTTACTGCTGGGTTGTCAGCGCTCACACACACCATCCTACGACCATTATAGAGGGTCTGAGAGCAGCGAAGGGGAAGAGGTCTGGTTTAAGTTAGCTGGTCTTGAACTGATCATTTTCTCCTTAAAACAACTGAAAGATATGTCCTGTAAGATCTCTTAAGTTGCAGGTCTATTTTCAATTGTTTCCTATACAGTTTTACCAAGTTTGAGGATTTTTTTTAAGAAACAAATGACAGAACTTTGAAAAGACTGAACAGTACGCCAGTATAAGAAAACTGTCACTTGATTCAAAATAGAATGTACTGTAATCACTTTTTCACATAATATCATTTTACATTTTTTTCCACCTGGGGAATATAGTACTGGTATAATTCGCAGTCACCACATAAAATATGTTTCTGCTCTTTTTTTATGACTTCAGTCTTTTATTTTAATACAGCAGTTCCTGAAACCTGGAGATGTGTACACGTTGAAAAAGAACTTGCTCACCTTGTCGGGTTGTTGTATGAAGGTAGACAGGAAGGCAGCCAGTTCCAGCAGCTGACAGGAGCAGTTCCATGAGTTGAGGTCCAGGTTTAGGTTTGTCAGCCAGCTGAGGTAGGAAAAAGCCTCGGCAGGAGCAGAACTCAAACGGTTTCTGGACAGATCCAGAGTCTGCAGGCTCGCCAACCCACTGAAGCTAAGATCAGGATATTTATTGTATTATGTACTGTATATAAAACTGTGATGTGTAAACTGTGCACTCTGTGCAATATATTATGAAAAACAAGGTGTAAAAAGGAAGATTATATAGAACACTAACCTGGTTCTATGCAGATGATGTATCAGGTTATCTGACAGATCCAGACTCTCCAGATCTCCGAGATCATTCAGAGGGAAGGAAGCAGAGTCCAAACTGGTGAGCAGATTTCCCTCCAGTTTCAGGCTCCGCAAGGCCTTGCTACCTTTAAACCAGCCACCTTGGACCTGCACATAGGAAAAGGTACAGATATTATTCAGTCCCATAGAGTACTCAAAGCTGCTTTATATACAAATGCATGTAGTTCTTTCAACTCAGTAGCCAATGTTGGCATTGCACAATTCATATGTATGATGTATAGTTCAGATTACATGTATATGAGCATAGTTTCTGACGATGTAGAGGAGGGGATGGTGGGTGGCGTGATATGACAGCTGCCAAGCTGCAGAGAGCAGCAGACAACTGCTTGAGACCAACAAGTTGTGTGTGTGTGTGTGTGAGTGTGTGTGTGTGTGTGTGTTTTAAGATTATTCTTTGGACTTTTTGCAGTAATTATATAACACCCAGCAAAGGGCCACGTGTTGGAACTGAAGCGCTGCAAAGGCCTATATGGGGTGCACAATCTACCAATTAGGCCAGAGGGTGCCCCATAAGCAGGTGTTTTTAACAATCTGGGACATGTCCAGCTGTATTTTTTAACAACAAAACTGGTATTTTAAGCCAAAATAGGATGTTTTCCTAAACCTAACCTTATGTGCCTAAACCTTAATTAAAACATTAAGTTTAAACAAATATGAAACAGCAGATATGAAACGTAGAAATGTAACAGATATGTACAAAGCCAACGTTTATTCCAGCGACTGGGTTGGTTCTTTCTCAGTACAAGAAGCTAAACTTAACATCTCCTGTGTGGGTTTCACTCATCATGACTGTGGTAAAAGAATAATATGTCACCCATTGGATCACCTAAATTCTTTAAACCAAAAATACAGCAACCTACTAAAAAAAGTCTACTTCAAATATCTTCCTAAATTCTTTCCCCTGAAGATGTACCCACCATGCTGATGAGGTTGTGACCAAGGGCAAGGACTTCTAGCCGGGCTAGATTGGTCAGAGCTCCCCCCTGTAGGGCCTGACTGGTCAGGAGGTTGTGGTCCAGCAGTAAGGTATGGAGGAACAGCAGGTTTCTGAAGGACTGTTCGCCCAGAACTGAGATATGGTTATGACTCAAACCTGGAAGATAGACAGACATATTTTTAGTTTCCACTTGCAGCCTTATAAAACCACTATGTGTAGAATTTCCCTCCTGGTGGGTAAATCTGGCAAGCAGCTACCTTGTTGTTATCTGCCCATTCTCCTCTTCCTAAGAATAACTGTAAAATCAACAACCCTGCACACTGGCGAGCACACACACAGACACTAACACGCAGAGGTAGTGACTGACCTATGACTGTAATGTTGCTGAGGTCAGACAGGGAGGCAGGCTGAACTGTGGAGATGGAACCTTCTGTTAGCAGCAGGGCCTGGGTCGTGTCTGGAGCCTCTGGTCACACACACAGTCAACACATACAGTACAGTGCTGAACATGAAGTCTCATGGGTAATATGCTTTAAAGGTTGTCATATTACTGCAATGTGTGCAGGGGTTGTTTAGACAGGATGCATAAAACACAAAAGCTGTCTTTTACTGTAAGTTTGAGTGTTACCAATAATATGAGCCAGTCTGTGACAGATGAGGGCATCTTCAGAACAAACTACGCAGGAAGCAGGGCATGATGGGACAGGGGTCACACGCTGGGCTCTGATGACTGTCACCAGCAACATCAGCAAAATACCTGCAGACAAATTCACAATTTCTGCAAATTAAAACTGTTTGAAAAATGACAGATTGGAAATTAGCAAAAGAAAACCTTCTTAATGGTGTCAATGCACCGAACTAGTTTGCAGTGTTACTTCAGGTAATTACTGTATATTAATGTCCCTAAACACTGGGTACACTCTTTTTCTGTTAAACAACAGTACAGAAAACCATGGGAGTCAAAGATAAGCCTTCTGGAACTTTATGTGCCATTCCTCTCAATTTACACACAACATGACTGGCTAGCAACAGCAACAACACTCGTTCTCACTTAAAGCTCTTCTTCTGTCTAAATCTTCAGTTTCTCAACTACGTCAAGCAACATACGTCACTGTTAAAGGTGCAACTTGTAATGCCAGGCCACATGCTTCAGACTAATGGGGGGGGCAGCATTTCACCTCCGAGCCAACTGCAGGGCAAGAATATGCAAAATTTGACCAAACAGCTGAAACTCTGAGATCCAGTTAAATAACACTGCTATCTAATAATCTTCACATGCGGCATCGGCCTATAGTTTACCTTATAACTTGCTTTGCTCAGTTTGGGCAAGACCATAGTAGCAAGAAACAACCACATCAAAACCATATGGAACGTTTTTCTGTGTGGTTTGTGTTGTCATTAGTTGCACCGTCTGTGCTTTGTGTTTCTCTGCCTCTTCAACGGTCTTTGCCTGAAAACAATAGATATTGGGTTTACAGATTATATAACCTTGGATTATCTGGTTCTGGACATATTTTGGCTTTGACCAGCACCTGGACTGAGACGATTTAAGATCAGACTTGAGTGAATGATGAAAGGTAAACCTGCAAGCCAGCTTAGTCTAGCTATCTTAGCTTGGCTGTATACAAGCTTGAAGTGACACAACCACACCAGTGTAGAGTGCACCAGGATTGAGTCCTAAAACCCAGAAATGATGTAGCATTTTACCACTGACGGTTTCCTCATCTTGAGGCAAATAATTTTTTTGAATGGATTTATGGTTAGATGCCTGAAATAATGTATGTGGTTCACACAAGCAAGAGACTTTCACTTTTTTTGAATGACATAAAAAATGTCAGTAAATACCCCACTCGGCAGTTACTAAGAAGGGCTAAATGAGACTACAAGACATCATCACATCGCGCCACACCAAATATGGCTTTACAGTCTTGTTATGGTGGCAATGGTTTTTTACTTCTGGGGGTGGCATTTAGGATTCAAAAATCATAAAAGTGGAGTTCATTTGTGAAGATTATCTTGCTGAACAAAATGTGTAAGTATCATGAATGTTTGTTTGCCAAAGAGCTGATTTTCTGCAATAATCCAGAGTCCAATGGAAAAATTCCATAGGCTTTTTGATGGGAGAACCAATGCATTGGCCTACAGAAAAACATCATTCCTGGAGCACTCTGTTGTGGATTTCTGATCTCTGATCGTCTGAACTGGGATATATTCTTGGTCTGGATCGTGAACACAAACCTTGACCAAACAGGACTGGTGAGCCTGCTGGCTAGCTAGGCCTGGTTAGCTTGGTTTGGCTGCATCTGGCCCCCACCTCTGTTGAAATGGGTAGCAACTGTGAACTTTGGAGGAAAAAGTCTAGGACATAAAAAGATCATTGAACTTTATGTCTAGGGAAAAGACAGGTGTCTCGAAACAAAAACTAATGCTGGACTTGACTTCTTTGTCCTTTCATGTTGGAATGAGGGCATACTGGAAGCTACAATGACTCACTGTTGCCTCTCGAGGTACACATGGTATTAGCCTATAAGACAGAACAGGCCTGGGTTGGCTGATTTGATTGTTACTTCTTAAAATCCTCTTGATAATGTTAGTTCATGATTTGAATGTTTTAAACAAAAAATCTGGCCATATCTTACATATTCCACCTTACAATATGTCCCACAATATTATTTCACATTTAGTGTCTTACAGTCTTATTTGTTTATCGTGAAACTGATAATGGGAATCCATTGTGTGTGGTACTTACTGGTCATGTTGTGTTACAGTCGAAGTAACATGGTGATGAGGTAGCATCTCTTTCATAGGGCAGTAACTTGATACAGCTGCATCACTGTCATGATCATCATCTGTTAGGCCAATTAAAACATATCATCACATTTTTGGAATTACATCATAATCATGTATCACGTCTCTTCAGCTCTGTGCAGGTGAGAGTAGACTCCAGCCCCCCAGGACCCTATATACATGTCCTTTGTTCATAGATTGAAAGCAGCACTTAATAACATTATCACCAGTGGCACTGCTGGTGCTTTGGGCTTTGGGTTCTGTCCTCCTGACCACAGTGACATTTGGTTGCAAGTGATTTGCAAAAACCTCTCTTGCCCAAAATTGTTACAATAACCAATTTTTTCTTCTTTTTCTTCAAGCCCTCTAATTTTGTGACAGGGGTGTTTTTGTCCAGAAGATTATACATCTATGTTCCATGTTTACAAAACATGTCACGGGCCATTATCATAAATAATCTTGGCTCAGAATAGGCACAAGTGCAGTAACACTGAAGAAAAGATTGTGATGACTGTCATTTGGACATGTGAATTTAGTTTGTAAAGATTAAAAGAAACTGAATTTAACTCTTCATCAGATTGCTTAGGCCAATCAGAAACCTCACTGTGTCCTTGCACCAAAGTTTGCGAACCTCTCTGATGACTCGCCAGTGAGCCAGTTGTCATGTTTGTTCACTGTTTATTCTGAGTTGCTAGGCAAACAAACAATGATAAATGTGTTGGCAATGAACTGACGTGAAGCATGTGTGTGTGCGTGTGTGTGTGGTATCATTAGGGGAGGTGAAGGTTGTCCCAAGAGGATGCTGACTGATGGATGACAGCCAGACTTTGTAGCAGAATGAGGCCTATCATGTTTCTGCTAAAGCTCTTTTCCTAATGGACTTTCCTCTGGTGAGCTGTCCTCCGATGAACAAATATGAGTCGCTCCACAATGGTAATGTTTTCGTAGAGTCCATAAATCAGAGTAGGTCAACAGAATGTGAACATGACTGACCTGAGAACAGAGTATGATGATGTTGTATGCTGACAGACTTTGAGCCATTTCACCTCAAATGACAAGAAAAATATGAGTAATAATTGCTACATACAGCTTGCACTTAAACCTGCAGCACTAAGTAGTTAAGTATTTGAGAGCATTTTAAGCAATTTTTTTTTTTTTTTTTTTACATATTTGTGAATTGCATGTCTTTTTTATCAGTTTGTGTTTCTGTCAGACATTTTGCAGGTGAAGTCCAGGAGCCCCATGGGCCCCTGGGCCTGTGCCTGTACAGCGTTTGAGCCAAGACTGCATGACTGTGTGTTTATGCTCTCATCAGCCCTCAATATAAAATCATAATCAGCAGTTTCCAACAAAAAAATCTCTGATAGCTCTGCTTAGCTCCGAATGACAGAAAGTTAGCAACTAGATGTGAAGAAAGTGGAACTTCACACTTGGTGGTTGTATTTCTGAGGACCTAAGGAAATGCAGTGCAAGTTCTTAAGATCTACAAGACATATTTATTAGTAATGTGTCTGTGTCTATGTCTATGTCTGTAATGCATCCTGGAATCCAACGCACTCTCTGTCGTTCACTAAGGTACATCCAGCAACAGATGATGAAAGAGACCCCTGATGGTACATTGTAGCAAACTCAAACATTTCAAGCTTTAGTGGTGTAACTTAAGGAATTAATGCTTTTGTCACCGCAAATAGCCGTCCTCGACTTTATTGAGTCCATAAAATGTTTGTGCGGGCTTTAGCACCCAAATAATGCATATGCTCTACCATTGTTAGGGAACGACACTATGTAATAGTAATTGTATTGCTTAAGACCCAAGGAAGTGCAGTGTCCAACCAAAAGTTGTTTTGATGAGTGGTTCTCAAGAAGCTGCGAACAGCAATACCAGAGGACAAATGGGCACCGCACTATAGTGAAGCTAAAGAGATAGAAATTTTACTCAGGAGCTGAGACCAAACCTGAGCCACTGGATACAGTGTTGGAGGCAAGGCCCCATTTATTCCTATGAAAGTTGCTCAGTAGAGCATGAGACCAATGGTTCAAACTGGTTCAAAATGGTTCAACTGACACGTATAACATTTCCCAGATGATCTGCACTGCCTCTGCACTGTGTGGCCCATAAAGCGGGCACACTACGGACTTCCGCTGGCTGAGCTGGCTACTTCCAGTTTAGCACTTCGCTAACTTGAATAAGGACAAAATGATTAGATTGTGTGGCTCTTCTAGACTTTCCAAATGTTATTTGACTGAATGGATCAAACCCTGATTGTGAAACGAGTCATCCTGGAGGAGGGGCACAGGGCATCACGTGACGGGGTAATTACCCTGTTTGACCACTATGAAAATTAGCTTCAAAGCCTGGTGCATGTCCTGGGGGCTCAAGTGGAGCCAAAAAAGTTGAACTACCGCTTGTAAAATCGCTCAGATGATAAGCATTGCTTTCACACTGTGTGGTCCATTGAGCAGACGCATTAGAGACTCCTGCCGCCTGAGCCAGCTACCTCTTATTGAAAGCTCCATTAACTTGAATGGACACAAAATGATTCGATCTTGCAGGTTTTCTAGACTTTCCAAATGTTATCAGACTGAATGGATTCAATCCTAAAAGTGAAACTAGTCATTTCACAGGGGTTGTACCACTCAATAAAGGTATCCACTGATTTACAGACGTCTCTTTCACAATGTAAGTCTAGGGGGAAAAGTCTTTCAGGGCCTAATGGCATTACATGACAATTTACACTGTTGGATCACTTCAAAAATTGGCCTCAAAGCCCAGCACACTTCCTGGGAGCCTATTTGACTGTAGTTCATCAATGTGTCTGTTCTGACTGGTTTACATCAAGGCTGACTTAGCCAACTAGGGAGGCCACCCCATTTGTTTAAGGACAGGCACACATAATATAAAATTATATTTAAGGTATTAGGAGATGGGGTAAAAATGCATGACCCACCTTAAAGTGATTAGCATTTTTATGTTTAATCATGCTTTCGTATGCGTAATACCATACAAACAAAGTGATTTCCACACAAACAAACTTTCAAGCCCCTGAGGGTCTGGGCCCTTACCTATATTATTTTACCTACTTACTTTGCCTGGTTGGTAATCCAGGTTTGGTCTGAGCTGAGAAATCCTTGTCAGTTAATAAACTAATAACTCACCTCAAACCATTTCATTACAGTAGATTTCACTCAGGCACTTACTGTGTGAGCCATGAGATGTTTTAGATGTCATCTTAATCTATAAGCCATAAGATTTAAATGTTATTTTTCTCCTCCATATTTTCAGTCTTTTGCCCATCAAAAACTATTGCCTCACTCTGTGATTCATTGTGAATCAGTGACTAGACAGTTAAAATAGTTTAAGAGGAGCAACTATACCCACAGCTGATTAACATTCACCATACCAAAGAGAGCACCAGCTGCCTGTGAGGACTTTTTTTCCTGCAATGTCATTTTTGTGCTTCCTGCCTGAGTTTAGTTTATAAACATCTGCACACCTAAAGCAAAGTAAAAATGATTAGAGTGCAAGATCATTTAAAAACCCATTACACACTGCTTACCTGTTGAACCCAAAGATCCACCCGTGCTGATGGTATGGCACACTCCACTGACATGTTAATCCATAAGAATGATCCGTACCACTGTGAGACTCTCTAGAGCTGGGGGAGTTCAGCTGAGCTCCATCATTTACTGGTTGCCACAGTGCTGTAGCAAATACTGTGTAACTGTGTGTGTCTGGCTTAAGTTACCTGACCTTCTCTGGCGCATGCTCAATAGAGCCGGCTGTCACCTGAGAAGCACAGATGTCACGTCTGACTCAGTTTGGTGTCAGAAATTAGCATTTAACTTTACTCTCTCACCTTACTGCCTTTTCCCCAAATGTCAATATTGTTTATTAGGATTGTCACAAAGATTCTGAAAAATTGTCGTTTTTATAAATGCATTTTATTTTCATCCACAATTTATTTCAGAATTATTTTGATATCAAACGTATGCATAGTTGCCAGCTTCTAAGTGTGTTTAAAACCAAAAATGTAGAAAATATGTTATGTCAAAGCAAGAATACATGTTTGCAACATCGTCCACTGCCAGCAGGAAATCAATAATATCACCAGATGACTGAGTTTAGCTGCAGCAGGGGACTCTTGAGCACAGATCACACTGCGGATTTTGGTCTGTGTAGTGACCAAACGAGGACAATATTAGAATTACTTGCTTAAAGGCTTGCCTGTATTTTTACTGCTAATCTTCTATAAATCAACAGTGAGTGTAACACATACTAAATGAATGTGGAATCATTTAATTCAGCAATACAATTTATTCCATATTCTCATTCCACAACTCAAGTGCTTGTGTTTGTCACCATCAGTCAGCTTGAAAAATACTTTAGCACCTTCATGATTACATAAGACCCAATCAAGGAAATCATGCACAGTGTATACTTATCCAGTTTAGACATTCACTTAAAGCTACAGAAGGTAATTTGACTGATTTTGATTGACACTGTGTTAGTCTCCTCAGCTCTGATTGGCTGTTCTAAATGCAAATGCCATTAGGAGCAGCCAGAGGAACAACGAATATCTCTGTTATGTTCTACTATCAGGATAAGTAAAAGACTTGCTGGTGAACATAGTGGAGGATTTAGAAGCTCAAGAGTCAGATACTCCCTCAGGTAGAGACAAAAACAGAACTAAAGGGGGAGTGAATGCTGGACTTAAATCCATGAGTTGGGCACCATTGTTGGATGTAACACATTATAAAGTAATGTGTTATTGTAATCACATTACCTTTGTCAGTAGTGTAATGCACCACTGTTCTAAATTCAGTAATCAAATTACAGCTACTAATCAAACAATTATGTTGCAGCTTGCATTACAGAAGTTCTTCAATTACCTGCATGGTTGGCGGATAGAAAAATCATCAAACATACTGACAATAGCGATGCTGTGTAGCGCACCCGTGGAGAGGCTCCTCAGCCTTGGTAGTCTGTGCTGACTCCATGGAGGAACAGGTTGTCATGAACACTCACGAGGTAAAAACGCTGCTTTAGTATTGAATATGTCAAGCTGGACTAGTCTACTATAAAGCTATGGTTTGGTGAGCAATCGACTCAAGTGAGTTTGTTTGAGTGTGTTTGGACAATTAAAATTCATTCACATACCATTTTCTTTGAGTATGTTATCATCACCAGAATAGTTTCTTATATGTTTTTAATAAGACTTATAAGGCACTTAATATTTGTATTATGCAGTGTTAGGAAGGCCAACCTCTTTAATATACTTATTAAATTTCTTTTTTAGGCAGTTGTAGCCTTTTTGAGCCTTGTTTTGTTCTGATATGTGGGCATATGTCAGGTTTAACTTTGTATTGTTAACTTGCAAGTATGTGACACTGTGTCTCAGGCAGTGTTGGGCTTGTTACTCTAAAAATGTAATATATTACTCACTACTTGTTACTCTTTTCAAAGTAATATTATTTCTTTACTTACTACTCTCTGCCAACAGTCATTCGTGTAACTACTTGTTATATTACTTTTCTGCTACACCCCACAAAATTGGAATTGTGTCCCCTCCAAATTCAGACTCCACTTGTGCCTCCATGTTAATGTCAGGGTAATCACCGGTAAGTGTAGCTATGGCTAGATTTTTTTTTTTTTTTCAACCTCCTGTTGCCTGCAACTGGTATTTTCCCAAGGCTCTGCATAAAAGACGGACAGTCAATCCTTGAGCAACATTTCATCCACAACATATCCAGCCACATGCCTCATTAGTTCTTGGTAACCTGCAGCTGCCACAATTAAAATCAAGTTTTGGGTTGTTTAGACAGTGTAGGGCTAGATACATCCTCCGCTGCCAAGGAGGGCTCCCCTTTTGTGGAGTGTATTTCCTGGAGCTTCATGTTGTTGTGCTGTTAGTAGGTGTTTCAGACCAAAGGTTTCAGGTCATGTTTTTCATGGGGAAAGAGTTTAAGTAAAACTACCTGCAGCAGCAGTCTTCTTGTCATCTATCATCCCAACAAAACCAAAGTAATGAGAATATTGCCAGCTGCTAAAGGTAAGTGTTTCCATCTTCCAAACTAGCATACTGTGTTGTGATGTGCAAGCACAGCGTGATGATTACAAAAATGAAACCACTGATGTGACTGTCATATTTCAAGTCAGTAGTGCCGTGTTTACAAAAGTAATGTAATATGTTATTTGGTAACTGTACTATTATAACTGAAATTGTATTAGTAATTAATTACACTACTTGTTACTGAAAAAAGTGTTATTATTACTGTTGTACACTGGTAACACTGGTCTCAGATGATGCTGCGGAGTACTGCAAAAGTTTAGTAATTAATAGTATAACAAATTACTTTCTACAGGAGTGATTGAGTTTAGTAATGCATTACTCTTTAAAAGTACTGAGTAATGTGTAATACTCACTTTTTAATAACACCACCAACACTGGTGGACACAAATATGATTCCAAATGAATGCTAATGTTGCTCTGTGTCTGGATGGAAATAAGTAACTGTTTGCTGACCTACCAACTTTACAAGGTGAAAATATGTTAATGTTGTGGTTTCAGCTTGTTCTGCTGCCCCCAAGTGGCTAAAAAATCAATTAATGTAGCTTTAAAGGTGCACTGCAAGTTATAAATGAAGAAAAAAGCTTTTAAGCTGAATTTAAGTCCTTAATGACTTGAAGGCCCAGCCACAGCTAAACAAGGAACTGCTCTGGCGAACATGGCAAAGGTCATGTGACCGACAAAGGTAGCTGAAGGCATAGAAAGAGTCAGAAAGATTTGCAAAATTTCTGATCAAATACAGATAGTCATAGTTCATAACTCTCAAGCAGTCATCAGCAATAAGTTCAACATTATTTCCTTCATATATTGTTGTATCCATGATTTGCATATTGGCAGTGATGATAAATAAGCACATTGGTATTCTAATTTTCATGGTCATTTTCAGTAATCATTTAAAGCTTAATGTGACCATATGAATCATTGTTTGCTTTGTTGTAGCAAGAGCCTCCCTTTTAGGAACAGCCAAAACCCTACTGGGTGACCTTAGACCTGTGACGCGATCATATCATCACATAATCAGGACTGTCTTCCCAGCAGCTCCGGGACACTCAATGATGTCATGGTGGGCCTGGGCGGCCTTCTCAAGTGGATACTGGGAACCGACGACTGGACGTAGCCAACCAGCTTCCATCCCTGCGTAGAGCAGCGCTGCACACTCCTTCGTCTCCTCCTGAGAGAGGAGGATGGAAGAAAACATGTACTTTAACCTGTAAAAGAATTTGTTTTTCTTGGCTACATATGCTCACATATATAATCATCCAAAGTGTGTATAAAATCCAATCACTACTATATGTGTGTGTCAAACATGGCTTGTGTGATGTCATTGCTTTGTACCGGTTTAGAAAAGAAAAGTGCCACTCCTATGATGCTGCTCTCTTTAGCCATGGTGTCTCTGGGGTTGATCTCTATGGAGCCTCTGCAGCCAACGACCTAAAATAAAATAGAAAGAGAGATGAAGGTGTATATAGGAATGTACAGGAATGAGCTACACTGGGATACAACCACTACTCTAGATAGCTAAGCATAGCAGTGGTGGTGGGCTGTAGCCTACTACAGAGCAACAGAAATCTGAGGCAGTATTCAGCTGCTCCTAACAGTTCTGACTAAGGACAGACATGCCTAGCTAAGGATGTCGGTGAGTGTCTGTTATACCTTAGTTTTTGCAGTGAGTCTTGTACTGTTGGCACTAGTCAGCCCTTGTTGGCTTTTTTTTTTTTTCCGGCTGATTTAGCATATTGAATTGGCATCGTAAATGGCAGAGCCCACCAGTTAGAGGAATCACTCTTATTGTCAGTGTAAATCAGTGCATGAGAAGAGAAACAGAAGTGAGGAAAGCAAACGGCTAAAGTCAAGGAGGAGTGAGATCAAGACAAACATGTTATATTAGGCAGAAACAGTTTGTAATGTTATGTTAATGTTTGCTTGTGCACAGTAAATATGCTTTATTCAGGGCGCCCAGTTGTTTAGTGGATAGAAAAAGCATGCCATATACAAAGGCAATATCCTTGCCGCAATGGCCAGAGGTTCGATTCCAGCTTGCGGCCCTTTAATGCATGTCATTCTCTCTCTCTTTCACACTTGAACTATTTGATCCAACAAAGGCAAAAAGCCCCCCCAAAAAAGCTTTGTTCTTTCAACATCGAGCATCAGGTGGCACCTTGCATGGTAGTCTCTGCTGCAAGGGTAATGGCTGAATATGACATGTATGACATGTGTATAAGTGCTTTAAGTGATCAGGTGGGAGCTAAAGCATCACCGGTGTTGTGGCAATTACCACTGGCAATGCCGTTTTGACCCATGGTGGCATTGCTGCGGAAACATTAATCCCACTCTCTACAAAACCCCTTTTGTATTTTTAACTACATCACTGCTAGCCCTGTTAGCTGAGTGTGGTGCTAACACAATTAACTAACAATTCTAAAGGGGTTTTGTGGCTAACATTAAGTGGCTTACACACTGGGGCAACCTGAAGGGTCACCAGAGGGTGGCCCATGCAGCAACCAGTATTGCCAGTGGTAACTGAAGAATGAGCAGGCTAGCTCCTGCCCCACAGGTGCGAAGCGCATAGCAACAAGCTAACCCATGGAAACTGGAGGGTAGGAAATAGGCAACATGTTTCTGCATCTTAGCGCAGCTAGCCGGCTGTCTGTCAGAAAAGCCAATGAAAAATAAAATAACAGGCAATACGCTTACATCACAAAACATTAAAATTTCACCACCTCTAAAGGGCCAGTGCTTCAAAATGTGCAGCTAAACCTCACTGAATCAAGTGCCAGACTAAAAGAAAAGCACCTGTTGTATTCCTAATTTTTCCTGACTTTTAGTTCTGAGAGCAATTCACAAAGCTTTTTAGCTGTAAAAGTAGCTTCTCAGCCCTGGAGAAGTTAGAGAAAGTCCAAAGGTAACTGAGACCTGCTCACAGTCAGTAATATATAGCAGGTAATGTTCCTTATCATGTTAGTGTATTGTTAAAAGTGAATGATACTGAACTTTAATCCATATTTGAGCAACCATTTAAAAAGGATTCAATCGGCTCTTTAACAAATTGAAGCAGCGGACATGTGCAACTTTATGCTACTTGGACCCTGGGAAGATACAGTTTGCAGTGATGACGACGTGATGTCATCTAATGCAACAGGGTCAGCCCTACCACTTCTCTTAGCTTAGGTTCTCTCTAAGGTCCTTCGTAAGAACATCCCTCAGCAGTTTTGTGAAAAAGATCTGAAGAGGAAACTCTCAGTTCAGAACTTTTTGTGAAATTTAGGACTGCAAGTGTTAACAGAAGATCCTTTGTGAATACAGCTCCTGTACTGTAATCCAACTGACCGTAACACGTCCTCCAAAGGCCAACATCTGGAGGTCTTTACTGAGGTTGACATTTGACAGCATCTCTACTATCACATCAATGCCTTTGCCTTCTGTGGCTTCCTGGAACAGACAAACAGACAGACACACACACATCAACACAGAGTTCATATTTCTATAACCATTACTAACCTAACTAACTTACTCACCCGATAAAATCAAGATAAGCTTTTGCTTCAAGGATGAAAGACAACAAATTAAAAATATTAAATGTTTGAAAGCTTAGTGAATTTCATTTCTTTTTGGTTTCTCTAATTCTTGTGTTCCCTTGCATGTGTGTGTGTGTGTACCATGATTTTGTGTGTGTAACCCTCTTCTCTGTGATTAAAGGCTTGGTGAGCTCCATTGCTGAGAACCAGCTTCATTCCCTCTGATGTCCCTGCTGTCCCCAACACCTTGAGACCCAGAGCACGGGACAACTGGCACGCTGCCACACCAACCTAAACACACACACACACACACACACATACACACAATGTGGATGTAGAAGGCATCTAATTTTAATATGATACGAAAAAAGGAAGACAAAAAAAAGACAAAAATATTGTACCCCTCCGCTGGCTCCATGGATGAGGACAGTCTCTCCAGGTTTGGTGTGGGCTCTGCAACACATCAGTAACAACATATTTATTTCTAACATTCCCCATTAACTAGTGTTGTTCTATAATTTCCTTATTGCAAACAAATCTAATGGAAAGGCAGAAATCAACAATGCTTTAGTCTGTTTCTTAATGGGTTAGTTCAATATTTTTCATTTAGGACCATATTTTCCCATGTTTTATGTGTCTAAGTGATTAATAGGAAGAACTCATTCAAAATTGGTCCATTGCTCAGAGAGAGGGCTGCAGCAATCAACGGCGAAACAGGCTAACCACCCTGGGCATGGTTACATTGTGAATTTACATCCATTAAAAGTGCTTGTGACGTGCTCAGATTATTATTCTAAGTGTCTGATGGCAAGAATTCCTACAGAGATAGGCCTTTATGATTAAGAGTGAGATCCTCTTTGTTAACCATATAACAGCCCCAAAATCGCTATTGCCTATTCCTTTAGACTCCATTTAAATGAACAATGATTTCAGCGTGCGTAGAGCCAGAATATTTTCCATATATTGTATAAAATAAAGGATGTAGCCACTGTGGCATCACTAATTACTTTGTGGACTACTGTTTTGAAGCCTCTAGTTTGGCATTTCAGTCATCACCATCTTGGTGTTTTGGAGCCAGAAGTGACCATCTGGGTGAGAGGCTGGCACTGTGGAGGAGCGAGTCGCGGATCTGACTGAAAACCCCAAAGGGCACTATCGCAGACAGCCTTTCACTTAAAGCAGCTTGTCCATAATTATGCCCAACTTCATAAGATGTAAACGGGTGAGTTATATGAAAATCACCCCCTGTATATGAAGGGAGAAACTAGCTATAGAGACCAAAATAATTTTTTTGCACCAGGCTGTGAACATGCTTATGACCTTTAATGAAGTGTGTTTTACAACAATAAAATTATTGTTTATCTTATATAGCGCCTGGTGGGTTTGGAAATGGTGATTTTGGGGCTCTTTCTGGTTGAAAGAAAAAGGATCTTACTCTTGAACAAAAAGATCTATCTATGTAGGGATCCTTTCTACAAGTTGTTAGACAATTATAAACTCAACAATCTGAGCCCGTCAGCACATCAGTGGCAAAACCAAGCATTTTTAGTGGGCATAAACTTACGGTGCAAACGTCCAAACGGGCCTAAAAATATAGTTTGTCCCGAGAGGGGTGCTACAGGAGCAGCCATGAAATTATTAGAGTAAAATAGAAGAGAAAGTGTTAAACTGCACTGACATTTGGGCATTTCAGGTAAAGGCTCACACCTTTTCAAATGTATCTTTATACAATACAAATATTCCCACGTGTACATTGAAAGGATTACTGATTGCTGTAATTGTTCCTGCTGTCCGTATTGGCACCAAAGGGATCCCTTCCTAAAGTGGTTTCAGTGTAAGTGATGGTGACGGATTCCACAGGTGTTCAGCTGAAGATAATATGAGGTGTAAAAAGTCTACACGAATCAAGTGGTTTTAGTGCAAAATATTATTGTTACTACACACCACATATCCTCAGCAAAGGAAGACCACCCAATTTGTCAAACTCTAATTAAGATAGACATGAAAAATATAAACCTTTTCTGTACAGTAGCATGACACTGACAGTGTTTAAGGAAGACAACAGTGAATCATCAGTGTGATGCTACATTACATTAATGCTTCCATAACATGGTTGTCACAAATGTTCGACAACTTATTTGTGCTAACATTTCACCTGTTGGCACTGTTTGGGATCAAGACAGGGTCTAAAATATTGTGAATATGTTCATTGTCAAGATCATTTCAGAGCCTGTAGGTATTTTTCACCTTTAGTGTTCTGGAAAATTAAAATTTAATATTAAAAGGAGCTATATGTAAGAAATCTAAAGCAAATAGTCATAAAATCATCCTACAAAAATCATCGGACACGACTTGCGGCAGTATTTTGAATTTGAGTGCAGTAACCGTTTTGGCCACATTCTTACATACAGTGTCTTTAATTTTTTTAATGCAGAGAACCAATTTGTATTTCATGTTTTCACCAGCAGGGCATTGCCATCTTTGAACAAGCTTGCTGGTAACGTCACGAGTAGAATTGGGTATAACGTGTTACAAAGTAAGTACAAAGTTACAAAGTAACGCATTACAAAGTAACGCATTACAAAGTAACGCATTACAAAGTAACGCGTTACACCCAATTCTGCCCAAAACCCGAGTAACCTAACGCGTTAGTTTGCTGTTTGAGTAATCAAATACTTAAATACATTTTCAAACAAGACATCAGTTACTTCCGTTACTTTTAGAATGCTGGTCCTTCAGCTCCGAAACAGCAACAGCTGTCGTTTGGTTCTAATAACGGAGATAACGTTAAACCTATCAGTCTGAAAGAAGCCACGGAGCTTGTGGCTCGCTACGTGGTAGGAGAAATGCTGCTGTTGTCTATGGTGGAGTCTAAATAGGTGGAGTAGGACTCGCTGACAGACATATTTCAGACTCAGGACTTGCATTATGCCTGATACACGCTACACGCTGGTACTCACCAATTATCCCCGGTCATCTTTCACGGCGTGTGTGATGTCATCGGGTTATTCTTGTCCTATTTTTATTTTACTATTATTTGAGTCACTGCCAGAACTGTCTGTTCATGTGCCAGCCGACATGTTGTTGTAGTCACCTAAAAGCTCAGCAGATGGCAGGAGCGACATTTGAAGCGTCATACGTAAACTGTCAAGCTACTATATCTTCCACAGGAAGTTCTGACAAATGTTTCAGAATAAAAGTCTATTTAGAAAATGGAGGGATTCTCTCAGCCGAGGTTATAAAGGGCTTTTAATTTGAAACAAGTGTTGAGTTTGAAATGACGGTGCGATATGTTAACTTTACAAAGACAACAGAGCGGATAAAAAGTAAATATATAAACACACAGAGGGATTAATAAATAACGGACCGTCTATAATGTAGTTTGTTTCAAATGAAGCTGGGAGCCTCTGCAGTTGTGATGAGTAAAAGCCCCGCCGCTATTTGTTAATGTTATTACTTTATGTCCGACCGTGAAGATGTACCATTGTTTGCTAGCTTGATGCTAATGACAGTAACGTTAACTCAGCGGGTTGACAAAGTGCCTCTGCTGTTTCACACCATCATTTCCCCCTTTTACTCTGTGTGGTAACATCCCTAGAGGAAATATTAAAAATGCTGGGGTGTTGTTGTCATACAGTTGTCTACGGCAGCAGATCGTTGTGTGTTTCTACTGGTCAAAGTGACGGCTGTGATGGGAGAAATGGATCTCAGTGAAGGGCAAGTGGTCCATAACTTTAATTTTGGAGACAAAAAAATGTAGGCTTAGCGCCCTGTGGTCCATTGCCCAGTAGGAAATGTAGAATACTCAAAAGTACTTTAAAAGTGCTTGAGTTACTTTTCTCAGGGAGTAACGCTGGAAGTACTTTTAAAGTAATTGAGTTACTTTACCCAGGGAGTAACGCAGTAAAGTAACTGGTTACTTTTTTAGAAAGTAACGCAGTAACGTACTTTGATTACTTTTAAAGTAACCCTTACCCAACACTGGTCACGAGAATGATTTGTCCCTATTGTCTGCTGGTTTGTCAGTGTTTTTTATAGACAGTGTATAGGATGTTTTGAGAAGAGTAGTGCAGGAATGTGCAGAAACACACGTAGCATCCGACAGATGGAATACATGTTGCATTGCTGGTGCAGGTCCACCTTATTTGCTGTTTCATGGAAGAATTGGAGTTTGGGGCTACTATATGGATATATGAAACCTAGAGAGGAGCCATTACAAACGCAGTGAGGGGTAAACAGAGTAAAACTTTTGGTTTGTGATCAAAAGCGAAGCCTATCGTTATAAGCCGATTCTATCACTGAGGAGGGAGCTCTTCATTTACAAAGAGACAGCAAGATCTTGCAGGTGTCTCCATGTCAGGGATAAATGTCTATTATGTACACCAAGAAGAGGATGGGCCCATGAATGTAGGACCAAACTGCTACTACCAACTATCTAACCAGGCACACAAAGGGAAATGGGACAAGTTCAAGCGTTACTCAATGTCGACAGTTCTTCTGATGAGGAGTCATATGGTATATGGTATATGGTAAATGGACCTGCACTTGTATAGTGCCTTTCTAGTCATCCGACCACTCAAAGTGCTTTTTACACTACAAGTCACATTCACCCATTCACACACAGGTAGCCATAAAAGGTGCCAACTGCTACTCAGTTTTTAACACACTCACACTCATCGGGAGCAATTTGGGGTTCAATATCTCCCTAAAGAATACTTCAACATGCAGACTGGAGGAGCCAGGGATTGAACCTCTGATCTTCCAATTGGTAGACGATTTGCTCTACCTCTGAGCCACAGCCGCCCATCATTGATCATTGGACATCAGTGAGTAATCAAAACTAAATCAGAGTAAGTAAACTCTCAACTGCATTCTCAATTTGGAATAGTGTAACCAAAAAGAAATTAAGGGAAAAAAACCCATTTTAGTTCACAGAAGCAGCATACAGAAGTTGTCTCCTACCTCTGAGTCATGGGTTAGAATTGCATCACCCTGTGAAAATGGACTGGCTATAAACATGATAACATTAACATAACATTGTAAGCATTTTGTGTTCGTGTGTTCTGACAGCTTGATGGAGACAATGGTAGATTTGCTGTAGAGAAGTGTTTGGAGTGGTTTGTAAGCTGTAACAACCTGAAATTTAAAGTCAGTCAAGTTAAGGCAGCTTTTCAATTTCAATTTCGCCACTGTTGTCTAACTCCATGGTAACAGCTCCAACTGCCATATTTGGTATTACTGCCTAAAATAACAATGGCAATTTGTTTCTTACTTTCTCCCTAGCTCTTTCTTTTTTGTCAAAACTCAGTAACTCTTTGTATCAACACTTATCTAATCTGAAGTACAGTGTTGTACGCAGCACTCCTAGTAAAACAATCATTCTCGTGACGTCACCAGCGTCCAGTGTTTAGCCTCTACTTTAAGAGGTGACATTTTATCCACCACTGCGGTTAATAAAACTGTTGTGGTTGCATGGTCTTACTTGTGAATCAGAGCTCTGTAGGCGGTGAAGTAAGGAATCCCTATGGCTGCGCCCTGGTTGAAGTCTAAAGCACTGGGCAGTTTGTGGACACAGTCGTCAGCTGCTACAGTGTACTCTGCATAAGCTCCAGACTCTGTGGCTGTGGTGAACACACGATCTCCTGCCTGAAAAACACACATATAGAATTATTTACATGTAAATAAGTGAGAAATTAGCGTCAACACTCTGAGGTTACAGCGACATGTTTAAATAAAATACATCACAAACAAAGAAACTGTTAAAAGTGTGATGCATATTTTGTATACAGTTAGCTAGCTATAGACTAAGAACAATATATAATGCACTGTACCAATCAAAGGCTACCGAAAACTTTAAAGGTGGAATGTTGCATGTTACTCAATGCACAACTTGAAGTAATGAATCAATTGACACAACTTAAATGTCAACTTAACATCTTTGACCATTCCATATGTTTATACTGACTCACTGCATTACAGTAACTGGATCTTTATGTGCTTAGAACATTTTGATGAATTTTGAAATAATTATGCAAACTGTGACTAAGCTATTTCCTCACTTGGGGAAAAAATGGCAGAACGTCACTCTAGTTTGCTCTGGCACACTACACCAATGCTTCAGAGACACCACATGTATAACGCATTATCTGTTTATGTTAATGCATACATGTAACCATGGTAACAGATATGAACATCAGTAAGGCTATTTTCACTAATTAAAAAACTGTTAAAACTGCCATCATGGTATCTTACTCTTACTCTTACTATGTTAGTCATTATTCATAACATGCCATTAATTTGCAGTCTAATAATAGCCTACTAATTAGTTAGCTAGCTTACAATCAGCTATTTCTCTATGAGCTCTTTGTGACATCAGGAAACATAAATATAAACATTTAAGAACATTAAAGTGCTGCTGCAGAAACTTCTGTCAGTCACTGGAATTTGATTTCCCCATGTGGGTCCTGATGACGTAGGATGACAAACATAAAAACTGCCCAAACAACCAGATTTCTGTCAATCTGTAAAACTTAATGTATTCTTATCTTGGTTCCTTTGCAAAAAGTAAGTGTGAACAGGAACCGAACTAAAACTTAAATGCAACACCATATTATTTTTTCCCTGTGGTGTGGACCAAATGAACCAAACTACAGGTGTGAAAGCACCTTTAGAGACTACAGATAAGGAGTGGAATAGATAGATGGAATAGTGATCAGCCACTTATTCATCATGATTACTGACTTGGCTTTTCATCTATAAATGCTTTTGGTTGGGTGGCATAACTGACCAATTGTTCATTTTGTGACTAAAAGCACCAAATTTGGTATACATATATATATAGCGTAATTTACACTGCTCACTGCTAGTGTCCTTGTCACTACTGATGCATGAGGCAGTACCTGCAGCCCAATCAGGTTGCACTGGGTGTCCATATGCGTGGTCGCAAGAAGGTTTGCAGTGTCTCGCAGCACAGTCTCAAGAGCATGGAGGAGATACCAGGAGACCGGCTGTTACATGAGGAGAGCTGGACAGGGCTGTAGAAACAGACTCCATGAGGGTGGCATGAGGGCCTGATGTCCTCTAGTGTGACCTGTGCTCACAGTTTAGCACTGTACAGCTTAACTGGCATTCGCCAGAGAACACCAAAATTGGCAGGTCCACCACTGGTGTCCCATTCTCTTACAGATGAGAGCAGGTTCACACTGAGCACATGTGACAGGCGTGCAAGAGTCTGGAGACTCTGTGGTGAATGTTACGCTGCCTGTCACATCATCCAGCATGATCGGTTTGGCCGTGGGTCAGTGATGGTCTGGGGAGGTATATCCTTGGAGGGTTGCACAGACCTCCATATCATAGCCAACAGTACTCTGACTGATGTTAGGTATCAGGATGAAATCCTCAGAGCCACTGTCAGACCTTACACTGGTGAACTGGGCCGTGGATTCCTCCTTGTGCAGGACAGTGCCTGCCCTCATGTGGTCAGAATGTGTAGGCAGCTCCTAGATGACGGAGGCATTAATGCCATTGACTGGCCCTCTCGTTCCTCTGACCTTAATCCAAATGAGCACCTATGGGGTGTTATGTATTGGTGCATCCGATGCTGCCAAGTACCGCTACAGGCTGTGCAGGAGCTCACTGCCACCCTGATCCAGGTCTGGTAGGAGATCCCCCAGGACACCATCCAGCAACTCATCAGGAGCATGCCCAGATGTTGTCAGGAGTGCATACAGGCACTACGGAGTCACATTATGAGTTGCCATAATAAAATCTACACAAGTTGAATCAGCCTGGGACTTCATTTTTTTTTTTTTTTTAACTTTGATTTCAGTTGTGATTTTGAATCTTGCCCTCAATGGGATGATGATTTTAGTTTCCATTGACTGTTGTTATGTCATTTTGTTGTCCACAAACTACACAATGTACATTAAAAAAAAGATTTCATTAAATAGTCGCATATGTACTAATTGTTAATATTATACTCTCAATAAGCTTTAAAGTTTCTTAAACAATCCAAGAAACAGAACAGATGTCTACAGCGGCTGCAGCTTTGTGCTCCTCCTCTCCTCTACGCTCTTGGCACAAGGCATGTGAAACACTAAACCACATTTCAGATTTATTGAAATTCAGACCTTTACTGCAGTGACTCCTTCTCCAACAGTTTCCACCACTCCAGCTACGTCTGTGCCTGGTGTGTATGGCAGGGAGGGCTTACGGGCGTAGGTCCCAGCCCGGATGTAAGTTTCCACAGGGTTCACTCCACAGGCATGGACACGAATCAACACCTACAGCAGAGAGACATATGAATATGCAAAGGTTTTTATAGGGATATGAGACATTGAAAAACATGCCAACAGCCAAAGGCCAGGCACAACAAACAATACACAAGTTCCCATACTGTTCATTACCACTGTTCAATAGAGTGCTCAGAGAAGATTTCTCTTTTTAGGCTGATATGGAAGTTAGCATCACCCTGGCTGGCCTAACAATGGAGTTTATCCATGGGATTTTGGATCAATGCAGAAAATTAGCTCTACGGCAAACAACATTTTATGATATTTACATGTTTTCTTCAGCTTCAAGATCACAAATAAACACCACTTTTATGATTATTATAGCATAAAAGAAGCTGCCAGGAGTAAAAAAGCTCACATTAGGCTATAAATTACACTACAGGTGCATGATTTCAACACCGCCAACACAGTGAAGTTGTCAAGCTGTGTTCAGCATGATGACATCCCATACTCTCATTTACCCACTTGTTAGCAACCACCTTTTATAAGACATATAAAGGCTAAAAATTTCAGAGTGTGATATTTACTGGTGTGTTTTATATCGCAGAACGAAACACAAATATCTCTTCAGCTTGTGTTAACCACAGACCTTTTTAAGGCATCTCACCACAAACCCATTGATAAAGCCCATTGCCTTCAGGATGAGGGAACTTGGAGTGTTAAAATGCTAACTCATTTTCAGGTTTTAGGGCTCATTCCTGCACTATTGGTCTATTGCAATTGCTCAGTAGCTCTATTTTTACCGGCCTTACCAGCCAAGACAACGTCCCAACAGCTGGTATTATTTTGACCTGAGTCTGTTTCTGAGTCTGAGGCTGAACTGCTTTCGTAGGGGCCTGTATGTCACTGCCATAGCATCAAAACTTTACAAGATGCAGTCACGAAACTCTACAGGTGTGCAGTTCAAATCAAAATGAAAGCTAAAATTGAAGATGGGTGTGGTTCGAGCAAGAGCGCCAGAAGTAGGGAAGGGGCCAGTGCTCCTTCCACACCCCTACGTTACACCCGTGGGGCACAAGTGGCTGATTGCTGTATCCAACTGGCGTGATCCCACTGCAAGATGGTCTCTAGTTTAATCCTTATACATGATAATACATCGCTCAAAAACATTAAGGGAACATCTAACTGTCATTGTTTCACACCAAGTCAGTTAACTTCAGTTATCAATCTGTCCATTTAGAAAGCACAAGTGACTAAGAATCAGTTTCACCTGCTTTGATGCAAATGAAAGTGACAACAGGTGCAATGGAGAGGGAAAAGCAAGACAACCCCCAAAAAAGGAATGGTTTTACATGTGGTGGCCACAGACAGTTGCTCTCTCCTTATCCTTCCTGACTGATTCTTCTCTAGTTTTGTTTTCTGCTAGTGTCCTTGTCACTACTGGTAGCATGAGGCGGTACCTGTAGCCCAACCAGGTTGCACAGATAGTACAACCCCTCCAGGATAACACATCCATATGTGCAATCACAAGAAGGTTTGCTGTGTCTCCCAGCACAGTCTCAAGAGCGTGGAGACCAGCTGTTACACAAGGAGAGCTGAATAGGGTGGTAGCAGGGCATCAACCCAGCAGCAGGACCAGTATCTGCTCCTTTGAGTAAGGAGGAACAGGAGGAGCACTGCCACAGCCCTACAAAATAACCTCCAGCGGGCTACTGGTGTGCATGATTCTGTCATCCAACATCATCCAGCATGATCAGTTTGGCCGTGGGTCAGTGATGATCTGGGGAGGCATATCCTTGGAGGGTTGCACAGACCTCCATATCATAGCCAGCAGTACCCTGACTGCTGTTAAGTACTGGGGTGAAATCCTCAGAGCCATTGTCAGACCTTACGCTGGTAGAGTGGGCCCTGGGTTGCTCCTGGTGCAGGACAGTGCCTGCCCTCATGTGGTCAGAGTGTGTAGGCAGCTCCTGGATCACGGAGGCATTGATGCCATTGACAGGCCCTCTCGTTCTCCTGACCTAAATCCAACTAAGCACTTATGAGACATTATGTATCTGTGCATCCGACGCCACCACCTACCACCACAGACTGTCCAGGAGCTCACTGATGCCCTGATCCAGATCTGGGAGGAGATCCCCCAGGACACCATCCAGCAACTCATCAGGAGCATGCCCAGATGTTGTCGGGAGTGCATACAGGCACTACAGAGTCACATTATGAGCTGCCATGATAAAATTTACACAAATTGGATCAGCCTGTGATTTTGATTTTTTACTTTGATTTTTGGTGTGATTTTGAATGCAGGCCTCAGTGGGTTGATGATTTTAGTGTCCGTTGACTGTTGTTGTGTCATTTCGTTCACAATAAATTATAGCCTATCGTGTACATCGGTAAAGATTTTCAACTTGAATTGTTCCTTGATCAAGATCTGATGTGTGATTAAGCTGTTCCCTTTTTTGAGTAGTGTATATAAAGTTTTCACTATGTCATACTTTCACATGCACACTGTTGGCTTTTTTACGTTTGTGGGCAATACACTGTACTGTGCGACAAATTATTAACAGCATTAATATATAAAGTTTCCTCATACACGACTAATCTTTCAAACTCCAAAGCTGAAGCTCTGTCTGATTAGCTTAGCTGTAAAGTAAGGCATGTGTTTTACACATATGAACACAAGTGACAATAGATTTTGGCTTTTAATGTTGTATCAACTTCAAGATACCACCGTGGATTACAGCCACTGGCAGCTCTGCTGTGGTGCTACTCTTGCACAATATGGTAAACGTTACTTTTTAATCTTGGCTGAACTTCCTCTTGAGAACAGCTTGAGTGTGTCTCACCTATCTGTGTCCAGGCTGTGGGACAGGCACATCTGAGCACAGTCTGAGCACTGACGGAGCTCCAAACTCACTCACTCTGATGGCTCTCATGAGCTTGCTGCCCGACATGACTGCACACACACAGAGGAACTTCACACAAACTGTAAGAACTGACTTTCCCCTCCGTCTGCACCCTGAGCCCGAGAGGTGTTCTGCTTCTGCGCTTTGCAGAGCGGTTATAAGCGCACCAGTGCCGCCATCTGGACTGGAGTGTACTGCAGCTGTCTGGTTTGAAAAACGAGTAATATGAAGAATAAAAATAAGATAATATTTGTGATACAGCAAAAAAACAGCCTGAGTAATATTCCCTGTGATGAATAAATTAATATTCTTAATGTGCAAAATCTTTTACTTTAGAGTAAAGATTACAGCAATACCAAAAACTCCATGTGCATGATATCATATTCAGATGATAATAGATATCCTGATGGTCATGGTCTCCTTTCTGTTGTCCACACATAAGTGAAGTTTTGTGTATTGTTGTATTTTGTTCATCTCATTTATTTCTTTATTTTACACATACTTTAGCCAAAAATGACAATGGACTTCACCAGGGAACTGTTGATCAGTCCTGGGTCAAGCAACATTGTCTAAAGCCTGAGAAGCCTGTAGTTAGACTGTGAATTGGAAAGTCTAAAACTTCCTATATTACCCCAGTTGCTTCCCCAATAATTTTTAATGAATGATCAAAGAAAAACCTGCTCCAAAAAACAGATGTCTGTTTTTTTTGGGATTTTAGTACTGAAAACTATTTAATAGAGTCTTGTGCCTTCTTAGAAAGCTGATGATGATGATGATGATGATAATAATAATAACAATAATAATAATTGTTTATCAATAATAATTAATATGTCCTTATTTAAAAATATTTGTTTATAAATAAAAAGACAAAAATGTGTCTGTTGTAAATATGATGAGTAAACTGTGTGATTTATAGAGAAGGGGTAGGACAATATACATTTTCCTTACATGTAATTATCTATTAATACAAATTGATGTTGTTTATGAGATTTTGTATATTAAAAGGGTTGCTGTTCTTTTTTCTTCCTTTTTTACTCGTTCGAAGTAAATAAGCCAAATAAAAATCAAATCTTGATTCATCTCATCATGGAAACTGATCGAAACCATGTACTATTGAAATATCTAAACGCATCTTGACGATGTCACCCGTCGCAGCTCCTCTTCCTACAAACTCATAAAAACCTACTGCAGATTGACTACTTTGGTCTGTAACACATCATGACGTCACGTCCGTTGACGCATAATCGACTCCTACATGCATGGATTGGCATTGAGCTAATGTATAACGCATCAGAGAATCACATCCACATGAGCAGAGAGTTGTGAAAGCTGTTGAAGACGAGCGAAAATCCGGAACCAGGACGAGCTGTAGTGATACCGGAGGTTTGGTATCTGTCTCACACATCCTGAGCCGGTAAAGTCCGGTTCCCGGTGTTAGCGCTCAGGTTGAATGATGGTGTCATTACATCAAGGAACTGTGTATAACAGTCTTTCATAAGAACAGCTCCCACGTGCTTCATTCAAACAGCCGGACACAGTGACAGAGGAGCTCCATGACCCTGACAGCCTCAGGTATCTTTACATCAGCCTGGTTTCTCACTGTGTGTGTGTTTAGACGATGGCAGCAAAGAGCAGGTATGTGCTGCAGAGAGTGCTGAGAGGACTCAGAGCTCACACTGTGTGGTACCAGAGCTCAGCACTGACCTCAAGTCAAGGACGCCTGCTGTGGAAACCTCAAGTCAGACACCTGAGCAGCTCATACACACTCTGCCAGTCTGCTTCTCCAGCCTCAGGTACTGACAGGTAGCGACTCATCATGACACTGATTCACTGATTCATAGGTTTGACTTTAGCTAACTGTAGTACTGCCTTTGGACGGTGACTCCCATTATGGACTGTTCTTTACTTATCAGAGGAGGGAGGTGGCTTGGCTGTGACTTAGTTTCTTCTTCTTTTTCTTTCTTTTTTTTTTTTTACCCTTTCCAAAGCTACTAATTAATAAGTTAGCCTTTGATGTTTGAAAGTTAAAAGTTGGACATGAAATCCTGGAGTTGAAATAAGCCTCTCATTTTCACTGCATTTATTTTTGGCCACATTGTAAATAACAAAGTGATTTTGATGAAATATCACATCGGAAATCTGAAAATCCAATGATAATTTCCATTTTTGCAGTTTCTGGCTATGATGAATGGTGTAATTTTGGTTTGGAAAGCATATTTTCTTAAAAATGTGGCTGTAAAATAAATACAAAATACAGCAAGTCCCTCCCCAGTGCTTACAAAAATATTTGACATCATGACATCATGTAAAAAACACAAAAATTCAATTTTCTCCCCAAAAGCTGTGAGGCCAACATGTCACTCACCTAAGTTTCTGAAAGTGTGATGTCGTTCCATGATTGAAATCACTATAACAATATACATGATATTTTCAGATAACCATATATACATAGAGATATAAAAGATGGATGCAAAATCACATGGAATAATCAAACTAACATTGAGAGCAATACATTGTGCACCACTGAAAACTACAGATGTTTTATCTTACAGCTTTCTTTGTCTCATTAATTTGGACAATGTTTTGGAACAATATGATCATATCATCACAACAACTCCAGTTATTGTCGAGCCATAATCATGGTGTTGGTTCTTTTCCAGGTCCCAGCAGTCTGTCATTCAGGAGTCACACCTGTGGAGAACTGAGATCAGATCATGTGGGAGAGAGAGTCACTCTGTGTGGCTGGGTCCAGTATCTCAGGTATTATTACTGTTCACACACAGACATGGAGCTAACAATCATCAACAGAGGGATTTAAAGCTATGTTAGACATCACCTTCAAATACTGGTGGCTCCAGAAAACAGTTAGAGGTAACACTTAATATGGGTTAACATGCTAGCAGCTCTGTGGGGCTACAGATGAGCAACACAGTAAGTGTTGTTTATCCTATGGAGAACCTGAATGTCTGTACATCTGTCTGATGGTTAGTGGCCTATATGACAGATGGACAGACACTGCTATCCCTAGTGTGGGTGAAAATGCCCCCCACATCCTGTGATGTCAGTAAAATGTGCACAGCTCGCTCATTTGTATCAACTCAGCCTGTCAGTAAAGCCTCATATAAAAATGATGAGAATTCTGATGTTAGTCAGTCCACCTTTTCTTCTGACTGCTGTTAAGAGTGCATGTTTCTTCCTAGGATGGCTCAGACATGACCTTTCCTACTCTGCCTTAATCTGTCTCTGATTGGCCTATCCTGATATTCTTACTCTAAATAACCAATTTCATGTCTCATGCCTGAACCTAACAAGCCCAACCAATGAAGGAAATGAATACTAGTCAGTCAGAAGTAGAGTGGGGCGGGTCATGCCTTCACCATTCTCAGAGAAAAATATTTTGCATTTAGGACTCGCAGTGTACATGACATTTTAACTTCCTTTAAGCTCTTTGTTTTTTCTCTCCTATCTAACTCCATTATTCTATCGGTGATGAAGAGAAATTGTGTAGTTGTGTTTATATTACAATATGATGGTTGCTTTTTGGGAAGCAGGGCTCAATCGTCACCCATCACCCAGAGTTTTTCGTTTTTCTCCCTTGGTCTCACGTAAAACAGTCCTTTAACATTGTTCCTCTCTCCAACAGGCAGGACCTGTTTGTCATCCTGCGAGATTTCAGTGGCTTGACACAAATTCTAATCCCTCAGGAAGAGGTAAGGATGAAAACAATTCAAATGCCACAATGCAGTGTCTGGTATTACTATAACGACAAAAACAAAGATATTAATAATAATGTCAAACAATTTCCTGCTCAAATTCTTTTTGTTTCGATTGATGGTGAACTCAAAACTTGATTTTTTTTTTCCTGTATTCCAAGTCTGGGCATGATTTGAAAGCAGTCCTGTGCGATCTCACAACTGAGTCTGTCATAAAGGTCACAGGAACAGTCAGACGACGACCAGCAGGGCAGGAGAACAAGGTCTGTGTATGTCTGTGTCTAACATTAAATCACCACTGATTGTCAAAAGCAGGTTGCCCTATTCATATGAGGACATTCAGCACTGCTAATCCATAAAAACAGCAGAAACAAGGGGGTGAGTTGTGTGTATTGAAAATCTAGTTGTGGTTTACATGCTGTAGAGCAGCCCTCTTTTTAATGTGTCTTTTAGGGTCATGTTAACTCTCTTTTGAACCTCTGTATTCACTTGTGAACTAAGCTCAGTTTTTACTGATTGAGAGGCTGCACACAGAGAGTCCTGGTGGCTGCTGAGTCACATTGTAGTTGATACTTGTTCCTTAACTCATCAGTGCTTCACTGGTTAAGATTTTGTCAGTGCAGTAAATCTAAACAAATAATTAGTCAAACCTTAAAATGAGAGAGAAGATTTGAAATGCATAAATAAAAAGAAGAAGAAATACTTTATTAATCCTAGAGGGGACAATCATTTTTTTCACTCTGCTGTCATTTACACACAGGGCTAAAATACACACACATGCACAAACAGGGCCTATACATGCATTAAGTGAGATGTCGGTGTGAGGGGGCTGCCTTGGACAGGTGCTCCGAGCACCTCGGGGTTCAGTGCCTTGCTCGGGCACCTCGGCAGTGCCCAGGGGGTGATCTGGCACCTCCCGAACTACCAGGCCCTGCTCCATACTTGGTCTATATTGGGACTTGAGCCGGTGACCCTCTGGTTCCCAAGAAAAGTCCCTATGGACTGAGCTACTGTCCCCTCAAAGAACTACTCAATCAAAAAAAGTGAAGCAACATATACCTTGTTGTATGTATTTCCTTTTTATATATGGATATACTGTGCTGCAGTTTCATTTAAAAAAACGTATGTTAAATCACAGTTCTTTAGCTTTTAGTCTTTGATAGCTGAATAAATAGTTTTGCACAGTATTCCATCTTCTTATTCTGTGTCTATACAAACAGGGCATGCCAACAGGAGAAATAGAAGTCCTGGCTGAGAGTGTGGAGGTTTTCAACATGTGCCGGAAGTTGCCTTTTGAAATTAAAGACTTTGTCAAAGTAAGTAACTATTTTCTATGTTCCACAAAGTAATTAGATTTGTCATTGTCATTAACTGTGACTGATTGTGTTGTTGTGGTTTGATTG